GGTAATCCATAACTGTTTAGTGTCGGAGTCTCCTTTGGGGAAACGGATACTTTGGTCTTACCATTTATATTACTTGCTACTATTCGGTACACGTGCCTGTATTAATCAAGTTTGTTGACTCCATTTTCGTTCATTCAAACTCCTTCTTTCAGACAGTAATTACTTCAAATTATCTCATCACAAATACTTCAATCAAGATGTGCATATGCTTTAGTGTTCACGCAATCACATAATATCCAACAAATGATATTTTCATGAATGATCAATCAACTAAGCATAGATGTTCTTATGTGTTCATGTACTCTTTTCTCACTAGATAAAGTGTTTCACACAAACACACAAGTGTATAAGAGGTCACTCATCCACTCTACTATCACAATGTCACATGAATTAACTTTGCCTTTCATTTAACCATAATAAAAAACATTCACAAGTAAGTATCATCCCAAGGACTTTTCTATGGCTTATAATGTGGCTGGGCTAACAAGAAGATTGATTTTTCTAGATCACAAAAGCCCCTAACAACAATGCCTCACCAAACCCCAAACTTGAGTGGTTTAAAGAGAGATTTTATGAAGAGGGAAGAAGGAAAAAGTGTAGAGAACTCTTTGGAGAGTGCTTGAGAGTGTGTGGGTGATGGACAAATTTGTAAGCACCAAAATATGATGTCACAAACTTGTTTCAAATCGGCAAGTATGACCGAATCGTTCAAGTAATAAAACTGGTAAGACCAAGTATCGTTCTTCCCAAAGGACTCACGGCCTAGTTTAGTTTATGTGGTTTCTCTTGATTAACTAAGACTTCAAACAATATTTGAGTTTTAATGCAAGCCAGAACAATAAACATGTATCATGAATTTTTATCACTGGCAAAGACAAAAGATAAACACTTTCAATGGAATATATGAATGAATATGTTGTTGGGGTCCAATTTTTCATCTCATCCACTCTCATATATTTAGGAAATTCAACTTCAATCATCATTGTTAATGCCACTCTCTAATGTACCATCTAGATGGTTCTCCCTAATCAAATAGTTTCATACAATCTAGCATCCTAATGATTAGTTCCTGAGGCATGAGCTTAAAGGCACCACAGAATTTGTTCCAGTAATAATATTGGGAGAAATTCACCGGATCTAGACTTCCTCCGTACGTGTCGTATCACAAAACCAATAATTCATGCATTAGAATGAGTTAAACATGCCAAGCATTGAGCAAAGAGGAAAAACCCTAACTAATGATGAAAGAACGCATATGTCTTAATTCAAAGATGTACTCAACAAATCCATATATGAGAGCTTCAAGAGATTACTTTGATTCCCCAACAAACATCCAAGGTTTTATTTCACGCATATTCATGTGAACCTAGATGAATAACAATGAAAGTATGAACGAATAAACCCAATAAGGTGAAGAGGTAGCCTGAGATCCAAGATCCTCCTTCAAAGGGGTGAAAGAGAGAGTGTTTGCCCTCGTTTCTGCCAAAAGATCGTAACATAGGACGTGGCAAAGCCTTTATATCCTAAATCTAGAGTTTCAAAGAATGACAAAAGTTCCAAGCCAAAAAGTGCCGCTCAGTCGCCATTGACCGCTCAGCGGTGGTTACGCGTCTTCTTTCTTCCCCTAGCGGCCATTTGCCCCTCAGCGGTTCCCACGCCACCTCTTGAGTGCCGCTCAGGCGGTTAGTTTTGGCCGCTGAGCGGTGCCTTCGACTTCTCTTTTTGCACTCTTTCTTGTCTTTTTCTATAATGTCCTCTCTCTCATTCTTCACTTCTTTCACCAAATTCACCCTCAAAACCTGCACAAAAACAAGCCAATCAAGCATAAACCCAAAAAAAAAAATGTCCAGCTTCCCTTCTTATTCTGAAAATTAAACAAAATGCATGATTTCAAGCTAGTTTCTAAGTCTAAAGGTTGCTTTTAGTATCACTTTTAAGCATGAAAATAACAGTTTTTCAACTGTTATCAGTGGGAAGAGGGAAATCTGAAAATCTCGGCCAAGAAACACCCTAGGGTATAAAAGAGACCTAATGGGCCAAATCCCGCTGAGCCCAATTGAAACAAGCCCAATCAGCAAAACTTCCACGTTTGCGCTCAACGATAATTACCGCTGAGCGGCATTTACGACACCAATTCTCCTTCTTTCCTAGCTTGTCCTAGGTGTTCTTTACCAATGGCCTCTCACTTACCCAATGCATTTAGTCTCTCACATCACTCAAACATTCAATCCCTATGATGCAACTAGAGCTAATCAAAACAAACAAATAAAGATAAAGTCCAAAAACTAGGTTGCCTCCCAGGTAGCGCTTGTTTAACGTCACGAGCCTGACCCAAAATCCTCCAACACCCATCAGTAGGTGCAAATCTTGCCATCACCCTTCAGTAGGTGTACCTTTTGAGTATCATTCAGTAAATACTTACCAACCTAGCATCAATCAGTAGAATGCTAAACCCAATATAAAAATGTTCCAAAGTTTCAAATTACATCACCAAAATAAATAAATTCAAAAAAATTAATGTTCTGAAATCACTGGGGTGCCTCCCAGCAAGTCCTCTTTTAACGTCATTAGCTTGACCTAATAAAAGCCTCAAAAGGTTCTCCTTCAATGTTGATGTTTCCTCTTTTTTCTCACACCAACTGATCATTGCTTTCGGTCCACCTTCTTTGATTCTTCTTGAATATGGAGCTTTTAATCTCTATCACTCCATTCTCTTTGAAATCTTTGACAACACCCCCACTTGTTCTTTGAATCTTACCCTCTTACCCGGTGTACCAAGTTTGAGTTGTAGCTCCATCAAGTCATCCTGAACTTTCTTTCTTCCTTTGTATCTTTTTCCTTCTCCCTAACCTGGACAAGAAACAATTTTTACCTTTGATGACCGACTTTGCAGCTTTAGAGCTAGTCATGGGTGCATCCTTACATGCAGCTTTATGCCTAACCTTCTTCTCTTTAATCTGCTGCTTTCCACTTTGAAGACATTAAAGATCACACCTTTCATCTTTGTCTTTTGAAGCACTATCATCCCATCATCCACATTGATGATTACCTTTGCCGTTTTCATAAACGATCTTCTAAGAATAATTGGGATCTTCTCATCTTCCTCCATCTCTATCACCGCAAAGTCCACCAGGAATTTAAGTTTGTCTATGCAAAGCACCACATCTTCCACTACACCATAAAGGTTTCTCGAAAGATCCATCTGTTCATGAGCAAAGTTACCTTGGTTGGATTGACTTCAAGATCACCAATCCTTTCATCATAGATAAGGCCATCAAATTAATGCTTGACCCTAAATCAATCAAGGTCTTCCTTATATTCTCCTTCCTTATATTGAAAGAGGAACTCCAATTCAACAAAAGGGGTTCTACAATTGCAATCAAATGATGCCTTGCTCGCTCATAATAAGATCATAACTCAACAGTTGGAGAATTTAACAAAGACACTTGCACAATTGCCAAAGGAGGTAAAAGGACTTGCACAGGTTCAACAACAACAGATGTGTGAACTATGTGGTGGTGACCATATTAATGGTCAATGTGCTTTTCCAGTAGAGGCCTTAGAATGTAAATTTCATGGCCAATCAATTTCCATACTGCCAAGGTGATGGGGAAGTGCATACCTAGAGAGAATATTCTAAATGGCATACAAAAGAATGGAGAGAAATTAAAAATGGAAAAGATTAGAGAAAAGGGAACTTATGACTTGAAGATGTGGCCACTTGAAGAGGCTCAAAGATAAGCCTCAAAGGAGGACCGCCACTTGCTTAAGTAAGATAAGGTCTAACCCAAAGAGGGACTTTGGAGACGAATACTATCTCAAAAGAGGATTGAAATGTGCAAATCAACTCAACGAAATCAATTGATTCAAATGTGTGTCTACAAGGGAACCCCTAGCCTTATTATATAGCCTTTGGAATGAGCTGGATGCAGATCTAGGAATGTGGGACTTTAGAGTGAGGAAGCTGGCCAGTTAGCTGCTGCACGTCCTCTAGGAGCTTTGAAGTCCCATTGATGAAAATCTCTCCACTCCAAAGGGTTTATAAGGCAACTAGTTCTCCTATATTTTCAAAAACATGAAAACTACCTATGCTACCCTTGCACTAACTGCCTAGGAACGCGCCCTTCCTCTCCTTTTCTTTTTAAGACCAAGCCATGGAAAGTCCCACATTGCTTGTTCTTAAAGAGAAAGAAGAGTTTATAAGAGTTTATTCACAAGAACAAAGAGAAAGAAATCAAAGAGGCAAATACACGCCTATGAAACCTATTCTACTTTTTTTTTGTACAAATGTATAAAGAAGACAAAAAGTAAAATGATTTCCTTTTGCCATGCTTCTTGTCATCCTTTTATTCTCTTCATTACTTGGCCCATCCATGATCACATCACAAGGTAATTACAACCAAGGGTGGAAACCTTACCCAAGCATGGATCAAGGTCAAAATGGACAAGCTAGACACTCAAGACAATTCAATAGGCCACAACAACAACCATCATTATGGCAACAAGTGTCTACACTCAATGAAAGATCAACAAAGTTGGAAGAGACTCTTCAAAAATTTATGAAGGTGACTATTTCCAACCACAAGAGAACTAAAGAGACAATTAGAAACTTGAAGAAACAAGTTGGCCAAATAGCTAAGAAGTTGGAAGATATGCCTGATAAGAGTTTTGGGGCTAATACTGAGGTTAACCCTAAGGAAGAGTGTAAAGTTTTAGTGAGTGTGAATGTTGAAAGAGTTCAGTTAGAGAGCAAAGAAGAAAAAGAAGAGAGAGTAGAGAGAAAAGAAGAAAGACAAGGAAAGGATGAGAGAAAAGAAAAAGAAGAAAAGAGAGGAGAGAAAAATTTTGAAAAATGTGAAAAAATTCTTCGTTATCCAAAAGGTTGTGAGAGAATAGAGAAAGAGAGACAATTTGGGCATTTTAAATATATCTTCAATCAATTGGAGGTTGATCTACTTTTGAATGAAGCATTGCAACAATTTCCAGTTTATGCGAAGCATATGAAGCCAATCTCCACAAAGAGAAGATATATAGATGAGGAGATTATTGAGTGCAAAACTGCTAAGAAGAAGCCACGTCCTCCAAAAGTGAAAGATCCAAGAAGTTTTACCATTCCTTGTGTCATAGGGAAGGAAAATATAAGGAAAGCCCTACTTGATTTAGGGTCAAGTGTTAATTTGATGCCTTTACCTCTATTTGAGCGAATTGATGATCTTGAAGTCAAGCCAACAAAGGTGACTTTGCTAATGGCGGATGGATCTTCAAAGAAGCCTTATGGTGTAATGGAAGACATTATGGTTTGTGTAGGCACACCAGAATTCTTGGTGGACTTTGTGGTGATGGAGATGGAGGAGAATTTGACTCCAATTATTCTTAGAAGACCTTTTATGAAAACGACAAAGGTCATCATTAATGTAGATGAAGGGATGATATAGCTTCAAGACCAAGAAGAAAGGGAGGTCTTTAATGTCTTCATAGAGGAGCAACAAATGCAAAAGGAAGAGGCTATTCATAAAGCTACATATCAAGATGTACCCATGAATAGCCCTAAAGATGCAAAGCTAGGCTTCAAAGGTAAAAATTGTTTCTTGTCACAAGTTAGGGAAGAAGAAAAAGATAGCAAAGGAAGGACGGTTCATGATGACTTGATGCAAGCACAACTCAAATTTGGTAAATCTATAAGATTCAAGAACAAAGTGTGGGTTGTTAAAGACTATAAAGAGAATGGAGTGATAGAGATTGAATCTCCATATTCAAGAAGAGTTAAGAAGATGGACCGGAAGCAGCTGATGAGTTGGTGTGATGACAATAAGGTGAACACCAACATTGAAGATGAAACTTGAGCTTTACTAGGTGATAACAGTTGAAAAACTGTTATTTTCATGCTTAAAAGTGATACTAAAAGCAACCTTTAGACTTAGAAACTAGCTTGAAATCATGCATTTTGTTTATATTTTCAGAAATAAGAGAGCTGGACAGGTTTATGCTTGATTTAAGTGTTTTTGTGCAGGTTTTGAGGTGAATTTGGTGAAAGAAGTGAAGAATAAGAGAGAGGACATTAGAAAAGACAAGAAAGAGTGCAAAAAGGAGAA